ATACCCTGCTTTGTGGTCTATTAGAGACCTGTCAATCACCGTGTAGCTCCGCCCTAAAGCATACCCTGCTTTATGGTCTATTAGACACCTGTCAATCACCATGTAGCTCCGCCCTAAAGCATACCCTGCTTTATGGTTTGACTCTAAATGGACCATAATGTACTAAATGAACATCATGCTGTATTGAAGAAGACTTGAAACTAGAGATTGAGACCATAAACTCATGTTTACAATGTTTACTGAGGTAATAAATCAAGAGAGAAGTAGAGTCATTTTCTCAGAGACTTCTATACAACCAGAGGAGTCGCCCCCTGGTGGACACTAGAGAGAATGCAGCTTTAACATGTGATGTCTGGTTGGAAGTGAGTTTGATGGAGGTCTAGTTTCTGGGTGTCTTGTTGATGCCCAGGACTAGATGATCTCTAAAGGCCCCCCCCTGCCTCTTCTCGAACCAGGACCTGGGACAACTGACCCGGAGTCCCCCCTCTGTTGGGCGTCAGCACTGCTGTAGCGGACTGTTGTGGTTCAGAGGGAGCCTAAAGGTCTAGCCCTCAGCTCTGGTCCTGGTCTTTTGAGTAGAGACCCAAGGACTCAGAGACTAGCTACTAGCTAGCTGGCTCCACATCTGATCCGGATCCTTCCTCTAGAGGGTTTCTGGTCCAGCTGGTGGTAGACCCGGGTAGAGACCCGAATAGAGACCCGGATGAGGACCCGGTGAATGAGGTCTCTGTCTCTCTGTGTCTCCAGGTGTGACCCTGGTTGGGACGGCGAGCGGTGCGAGCGCTGCGTGCCGACGCCCGGCTGTCTTCATGGATCCTGTCAGCAGCCGTGGCAGTGCAGCTGTGAGCCGGGCTGGGGGGGCCGCTTCTGTGACAAAGGTCTGGACTCTCACTTCTTCTGGTTTGGTTTTTGGGGTCCCTGTTGGGATCCGGTCTGACGTGTCCCCGTCTCCTTGTTTCAGACCTGTCGGTGTGCTCGGAGCAGCCGCCGTGTCAGAACGGAGCGACCTGTGTGATGGAGGACAACGCTGAGTACACCTGTCTGTGTGCCCACGGCTTCCACGGCAGAGACTGTCAGCTGAAGACCGGACCCTGTCACCTGAGGAGGTCTGTGCAGGTCTCCCTGTAGACCACCTGGATGATCCTTCTGTTTGCTCTAAAAAGCTGTTTTTTAGTTTGAATCCCTAAAAGTAAACATTTAGTTCATCTGAATAAAGTCTGATTTAATATCTGAGATGAAGTGACGACTACAAACAACATTTATATTTACTGTCACTGTCACAGGACAGGTTCAACTATTAACAATAACTGATTAAAACCAAGAACCAATTATTTAGCGATAGCTAGTAGCTGCTAGCTAGCTACTAAATGTCTGCGAGCTAGCAGCTACTACCTAGTAGCTAGTATCTAGTAGCTACTACCTAGCAGCTACTACCTAGTATCTAGTAGTTAGTAGTTAGTAGCTAGTATCTAGTAGTTAGTAGCTAGTATCTAGTAGCTACTACCTAGCAGCTACTACCTAGTAGCTAGTATCTAGTAGCTACTACCTAGCAGCTACTACCTAGTAGCTAGTATCTAGTAGTTAATAGCTAGTATCTAGTAGTTAGTAGCTAGTATCTAGTAGCTACCACCTAGCAGCTACTGCTTAGTAGCTAGTAGCTGCTAGGTAGCTACTACGTCATTAACATGTCCTCATGTCCCTGATGATGATGGATGTGGTTCTGTGAACTGAGCACCTGGTGTTCACGCTTGTCTCTTCTTCTTCTTCTTCTTCTTTTTCTTCTCTTCTTCTTCTTCGTGTGTTTTGTCTCCAGGTCTCCATGTAAAAATGGCGGCCTCTGTGAGGACGCTGATGGCTTTGCGGTGGACCTGGCGTGTCGCTGCCTGGCCGGCTTCACGGGTCGGCGCTGTGAGACCGATGTGGACGACTGCCGTCGACGACCGTGTGCCAACGGCGCCACCTGCCTGGACGGCGTCAACCGCTTCTCGTGCCTCTGCCCCGCCGGCTTCACCGGCCGTTTCTGCACCGTCAACCTGGATGACTGTGCCAGCTGGCCGTGCCTCAACGCCGGCCGCTGCCTGGACCGCGCCGCAGGCTTCCACTGCGTCTGCCGGCCCGGTTACACTGGGGCCACCTGCGAGACGGAGCCGAGGGGCCGCGAGCCCGGCTGGACGATGCTGGGGTGGGAGGGGGGAGGAGGAGGGGTCGTACCTCGCCTGACCACCGGGGGTCAGAACGAGAGGACCGTCACCTTGAACGGCAGTCGACATGGCGACAGGACGTTCAAAGTGACGGTGAGCGAGCGCCGTGCCGCCAGCCTGTCGGAGGTCCAGCTCGTCATCCTGCTGGTGCTGGCGGGCCTGACGCTGGGCGCGGTGGCACTGACCGCCGCCCTTGTGCTGCACGGTCACTGCAGGGCCCGAGGCCACGCCCCTTTCTGGCCGCTGACATCGTCATCATCATCATCACAGCAGAGCGGCCGGCGAGCGCCGCAGGACGAGTCGGAGTGTCACATCAGCTTCCTGAACGTAGTCGAACCAGAGAAGAAGAAGCTGAACACGGAGGTCATGTAGACAGAGTGGGCGTCCGAGCAAAGAGCCAACAGGGAGAGAGAGAGAGAGAGAGAGAGAGATAGAGAGAGAGAGACTGCTGGTCACAGGACCCTCAGTGTACACCTGGTGTTAATATGCAAATGAGCTTTGACATCATAAACATGTTTGTAGTCATCATGTGACTCCTGGAACTAAAAGAATTAGAGAAACGTTCTTCTTCCTGGTTAAAACCCGTCGCCTACATTACCCACAATGCACCTCTCGCTCCGACAGGCTGCCACGTGTTTCGTCCCGATGCAGAGATGAGCAGCGGTTACAGAGGTCTCACTCCTTCACAACTTCACATTTACTTCTCTCACTTTTTAGTCTGCAAGACGCTGACTCAAGTGATCATTGATAAAAGACCTTCATCTTTAAAGTGACAGTAAAAAACATCGGGACTCACATCAGATAAACACATGATGAAATGTACAGAACATTCTTGATGTTAAATGAATTAACTTTAACTGTATTTTAAACATTTTAAATTATATTTTTGAATGTAACTGTACAGCTGAGCGTGTAGAAATACTGCGGTACATATAACCCTCGACAAAATGTTTTTACTCTTCAGCTTTTATTCAGATGAAACAAACCGGAGACGACATTTTGATCAGTGAGCTGCTCGTTAGCTTAGCATCTTTACATCTCAGAGGTAAATATTGTACTTTTTACTGCTCTTCATTTATTTTATAGTTTTACTTTAGTTACCAGATTCAGATTATTAATAAACACATAAATCATGATATATTATTACAGATTATATAAAGTTATTAAAATGAGCTTCACTTTCAAAGTGGTGTTAGTATCTTCATATTACGTGTTAGTATCTTCATACTACGTGTTGGTATCTTCATATTACATGTTAGTATCTTCATACTACATGTTAGTATCTTCATACTACGTGTTAGTCTCTTCATACTACGTGTTGGTATCTTCATATTACATGTTAGTATCTTCATACTACATGTTAGTATCTTCATACTACTTAGTATCTTCATACTACGTGTTAGTATCTTCATACTACGTGTTGGTATCTTCATATTACGTGTTAGTATCTTCATATAAGTGTTGGTATCTTCATACTACGTGTTGGTATCTTCATACTACGCGTTAGTATCTTCATATAAGTGTTGGTATCTTCATACTACGTGTTGGTATCTTCATATTACGCGTTAGTATCTTCATATAAGTGTTAGTATCTTCATACTACATGTTGGTATCTTCATATTACGTGTTAGTATCTTCATATACGTGTTAGTATCTTCATATACGTGTTAGTATCTTCATACTACTTAGTATCTTCATACTACGTGTTGGTATCTTCATATACGTGTTAGTATCTTCATACTACGTGTTAGTATCTTCATACTATGTGTTGGTATCTTCATATTACGCGTTAGTATCTTCATATACGTGTTGGTATCTTCATACTACGTGTTGGTATCTTCATATAAGTGTTGGTATCTTTATACTACGTGTTGGTATCTTCATACTACGTGTTGGTATCTTCATACTACGTGTTGGTATCTTCATACTACGTGTTGGTATCTTCATATAAGTGTTGGTATCTTCATACTACGTGTTGGTATCTTCATACTACGTGTTGGTATCTTCATATAAGTGTTGATATCTTCATACTACGTGTTGGTATCTTCATATTACGTGTTGGTATCTTCATACTACGTGTTGGTATCTTCATACTACGTGTTGGTATCTTCATACTACGTGTTGGTATCTTCATACTACGTGTTGGTATCTTGTTACTGCAAGTAAAGTGTACAAGTACACAGAAATCTCTAGAGCTGGCTGGTTAGCTAGTTAACTTGGCCTTTCTCAAGATGCGTTTTTGTCTGTACTTGTGTTCTCCTGGACTTGTGAAATGTCATCAGTTTTACCGGGGATGCATCGGAGGTGACTCGTCTGTAGTCGGGATAGACAAATATCCCAGAATGCATTTCGCACCATTTATGTATGTTAAATATGTTTTGTATGTAAGTTAATTCCCCGTGATGCCTGTCCTTGAATGAACATAACCAGTGATGTATTGTGTGATTGAATGAACATCATTTTGTGATTGAATGAACATCATTTTGTGATTGAATGAACATATATTTTGTGATTGAATGAACATATATTTTGTGATTGAATGAACTTAACCAGTGCTGTAAAGCAAAAGGGCTTAAAGTGGAAGAATCTTTTCAAAAATGTATTAAACTACAAATACAGTTTACTGGAATTTCTATAATAGATTTAGAGCATCATCAGTTACATTTTTTTAAAACCAGTGTTGTCTCAAGTTTTCACATCAATGGTAACTGTTCCGTTGTTCCACATGTAAGATTTAGTTGTCAAGCTGTGAGACTTTGTCTTCCTCACAACCATGAATGAAGGATTCATGAGCCTCACCTCCACCTAACATGCTATACATGTTACATAAATACATTTGTAGCATGTTTGTTATCTTTTTTTAATTTTTCTTTATATTATTACCTTTTAACTCTGTCAAGATTCTAGGATCTCCTTTTTAGGGAAACTTTAAAGTTATATTATACACAATATTTGTGTACACATATTTTTATATTTTTCTTTGTAAGTAAAGCGTATTTTGAGTTTTGTCATTATTTTAGATAATCAAAGGTTTTCATGTAATTTCAATTCATTTTACAAATGTATTTATATTTGTTTTTATTTTCTTAATAGATTTTTACATATTTCTGAAAACGTTCAGAAAATCATCTATTCGTTCTTTTGACATCTCACTTAATATGAGCACAGTTCATATTAGGTCATCATTCATTACATTACATTACAGTCATTTAGCAGACGCTTTTACCTAACTCCCTACCCAAAACAGGAGAAAACAAACGTAAACAACAGAACGGCTCACCCCTACCGCTACATGGACTGTTAGTTATAGTATGTGATCAGCGGTCGCCCCGATCCGTATTACAGCGATCCCTGTTGCTGTGCAGCACGGTCTGGTTGGGAGAACGGGGAGAAGAGAGAGAGCCGGCCGGCCTCCACAGGTGCCTTCTTATGTCCCGCCTCATGAGTCCCCAGTCCAATCACCTGCCATTTACAGGATACAAAGAAAACGGTCACAATACACAGCACCACCCTCAGGCAGGGACGACCACAGCATATATGATCCTATATTATGACGCTCAAAGTCATAACAAGTGAGTTGCAGTAGTCCAGGCGGGAGATGACAAGAGCCTGGATGAGCACCTGCGCTGTGTCATCAGTGAGGAAGGGGCGAATCCTCCTGATGTTGTAGAGCAGGAATCTGCAGGAGCGTGTAACCGATGTCTGAAGTTCTTGACATCAGAGGGGTCAAGTGATGGTTTCTTCAGAAGGGGGGTGACTCTGGCAGTCTTGAAAGCTGTGGGAAAGCATCCTGAAACAACAGATGTGTTGATGAGGTGGGTGAGGAAAGGAAGGAGTTCAGTCGCAATAGTATACACACGTATACACACATATACATACGTATACATATACACATAAATACGTATACATATACACACGTACACATATACATACGTATACACACATATACATACGTATACATATACACATAAATACGTATACATATACACACGTACACATATACATACGTATACACACATATACATACGTATACATATATACATATAAATACGTATACATATACACATATACATACGTATACATATACACATATACATACATATACACGCGTATACATATACACACGTATACGTATACACATATACATACATATATACACACATATACGTATACACATATGTATACATATACACACGTATACGTATACACATATACATACATATATACATACGTATACACATATACATATGTATACGTATACATACATATACACATATACACACGTATATACACACATATACGTATACACATACATACGTATACATACGTATACATAGTATACATATACACATATACACATATATGTATATACATATACATATGTATACGTATACATACGTGTATATATATACACACGTATACACATATACACACGTATACACATATACATACGTATACACATATACAGACGTATACACATACTCATACACATACGTATACATACGTATACATATACACATATACATACGTATGCACATATACACACGTATACATATACACATACAGTATATGTACATACATATACACATATACATATACACATATACATACGTATACATATATACATACGTATACACATACTCATACACATATACATACGTATACATACGTATACATATACACATATACATACGTATGCACATATACACACATATACATATACACATATATGTACATACATATACACATATACACATGTATACACATATACATACGTATACACATATACATACGTATACATATACATATACACATACATATACGTATACATGTACACATACACATATACATACGTATACATACACATACGTATACATAGTACACATATACATATACATACGTATACACATACAGTAGATACGTATACATATACATATATACATACACATACGTATACACATACATACGTATACATATACATACATACACATACGTATACACATACATACGTATACATCTATACACACGTACACATATACACACGTACACATATACGCACGTACACATATACTGTAGGTGCATGGTCACTTAGATCTATTCTCCCAATCCAACAATTGTTTATTTTATCCTTGTCTTTTCCAAATGTTATGAAATAGT